CCCGAACGCACCTCAACAGAATTTTTGGTCTAAACCGAAAAAAAAATGTAAAAAAAAAACCAAACACACAAACATAAATCTATTGGGCAAAACAGTGATTGCCAAATCAACTGGGGAAGGGAAGGGGGGTTAGCATTGATTTTTACTTTTCTTTTGGACGGGAAATCTCCCGAAACATTCATTCATTTGGGGGATCATTAGTTAAGCGTTTTAAGTCCCAAGATGCCATAAATATGAGATCTAGACTTTAGAGACTAACCTTGAATGTGAACTTTTCCACCGACTTTTCATACATAGTTCGTATATTAAACTGAAAGATATTAACGATCGAAGTGTGAGAGAGGGGAGAAGGCTGAATCGAGAATCGAAATGCTGGTGGGTCAGTTATCAGCAATTTTGTCATTGCCCTGAAATTTATCGTTTATTATGGGTCTGTCTCGCCGGTTTCCGTGTCAGTCTGCAATCGTGTGTATCTTGCAGATGCATTTCACCAGAATGCTGCGATGTAAACGGCAATCAAACAGTTCTCGCTTCCAAATCATATATATATCATATGTACTATATATATATATACATATATATTTGTGTTATTGTTGGGCAATAAATTATAAAAATAATAAACACGGCGATGGCCGTATTTCTCGTCTCATTTTGGCACACATTCAACTAATATCTCGCCAGATCCGCACTGCAATCCGAAGAAAAAGAGACCCAAAAATGTATCTAGAACGCGTCGCGTAATCAGTTTTTTAGCTGCGATCTGCAGAAATTCTTTTCTTCACTAAAAGTTTTTTGTTCTCAGAGTCTAAGCAAAAACTTTCCATTTCTATGTCCGCGTGGGTGGTTTGAATAGTTCTCGAATGTCATTGGGAAAGTGGGGACTCACCAGATTCGTTCTTAGCTTTTTCTTTCTTAACTTTTGGGTATATAGTTTCACAGTTATCACACACACACACACACATACACAACACCTACGGGTATTTAACAGGTCTCAGTTCGTCTTCGGTTCTTTTATTCTTTTTACTTAATCTCCAAGCGAACCCCTAGCTTGGTCGGAGGTGATTTCGAAAAATTAACTGCCAATTCTCGGAAGACGAGACTTTTCTACCTATCCAAAGCTCTCAGCTGAATGTTAATAAACACAGCGTTGTTTGAGTTTGGATTTGGTTTCGGTTCTTTTTTTTTGTCTGTTAGCGCCGACTTGTTGCTATGTTTGTCTGTGGAAGGTTTTTTCCTGTGTCTACCACGGGTATGAATATTAAATAACTCTTTTTTTTGTTTGCCAGTTCTGCTTTTTGCGGCTTTATTTGCAAATCACCGTTTATTTTCCTTTCCTTACTTTCGAAACGGAAATGCTTAGATTAGGATCGGGCAGAACTTCACTTTCGTCACGAACATAATAAATGCCAAGTGCAGAATTGATTGGGAATGTCGTAAAACCCGTTTTCGAGAATGCAGCACACGACAAATGTGAATATAAGAATACCAATATGTAGTACCTTATATGACTTTTGGTTGTTGTAGTGGGGGTGGATGGTTTGTTATGTTGCTGGATTTTAAATTTTAACGGAAAATGACTCGAATTACGTGCGTGTTGCAACGACGAAACCGATATACGACCGTTATGTATTTTTTTTATGTTTTGTTTTTGGGATATGCAACCGGTATTCAGAACTTTTTCGCTTTTCGAAGCGACGCCAGACGAACGATGACGTTGCGTATACGTATACGCCAGTGTCTGACCACAAAGAACGCCGAACAACAACTGCGGCAGCTCGACTCTGTTTCGTTTAGCAGAAAATCACTCTGGCGTTACAGGGTGCTTTTCTTGGTTCGGAAAACCAGTTTTCGTTTCGCTCTCTTAACCAAGCTCTCTTACGTTTATGTAGAGACGTTCGGAAATGTTCGCTCTCTGTGGCAACGAAAAGCGAAAGCCGTTGGCCAATCAAATCAACCCAAATACACGTGCTCGATGATGATTTTCCTTGGTGTGGGCCAAAAGGGGGGCTAGAAGGGGCCATCAACCAGCTTTCTGGCCAAGTTTCTCTGTTTTGGTTTTTGTGTGCGGCGAGAGGCTGGGACTCTCTCTTCAAGTCGCCAGAAGATGTGCCCACAGCCACAGGGTAAACATGGTCAAACATTGTCAAACATTGTCCAGTAAGAAAAGGGGTTTTTATTGAAAAACCTTGTTTGCCAAACATGGGGAAAAAGGCTAAAAATTAAGTTTCACCAATTTTACAAAATCTAATTACAATTTGTTTCAATTTCACATTTAAATTGCTTAACACATGTTAAGATTAAACTAAGCAGTAATTTTATAATATTTGCTAAGGAAACGAAATATATTGTATAAAAAACTATGTCGTTTACAGCCTCGTTACCCACTTTAGAGCAAGCTTATAGAACTATTTATATATATATATATAAATATATATTATATAAATTAACATAGTATAATATATTATGATATGACTCAACTTTTAAGAATGATTAAAGATTCCATATCCATGCTAATATCCCTCCCATAAATTAGCATTCTTAACATAGACGTTTATCAGCCATTCTTCAGAAGCCCCTCTAAATTGTCCGGAATCAAGGTTGACAACTAAATTCTCGGCATACCGAAAGTAACCAAAATGTATGGGCGGTTTTTGAGACAGCCACAACCTGAGCTTGTTGACAACTCAGTTCGCATATCTGCAAATATTCACGCATAATTCGTCCTTTTTCTTCAGCGGATCCTGCGTATGTATGCAAAAATGGTATTCATGGGAAATATGCAAAAGCATGAAGCCGCAATCATATGAAGGGCACAAGCTGGAGGAACCGCAAAAAGGATGACAAACAAGCGCAAACTCGAAAAGGCCTGGTTGTCAGGCAAACGACACGGAACGCAGACAAATGACGGCAGAATGCCCTCATACTCGTACTCCTTTCAGTTAGCCGCATTAGATGCCAGGATACGGATACGGGGATATGGAACGCGGTCAAGGATTCAAGCGCGACTTACAGAATTGGATGAGAAGAAGGAGGGGAGCTGGGGAAATGCATTCGAACTGGGCAAATATTTGCAGTATTTTAATTACTTTTTTGTCTAGAGTTTTTGCAACAGTGGCACAGGAATAGAGATTGGAAATTAAAAGCGGCAAAGGAACAAGTTCAAATGGCTGTCGCCATTTCCCTCTCCTTTCGGTTGGCCACTTTTTTAATTAAAAAAGCGCACAACTGAAAATGGCGCCCGCAAAATGGCGAACAATTTCACAGCTTAACATGGCCAACTTTTGCGAGCTGACAAACTTTAAATACTTCCGAGATACAGGTCCTTTAAAGCCCTGTTTGAAATGCGTTCAATCATGGCAACTTTTCCCCTTTGGCACTTAACACATTGTCGAAAAATCTTAAGCAACCCTACTTAGGCAATCCCATCAACAGGGATTCGGCTTCAGGTTTCAAGTGGTTGGGCCAAAAAAAGAAGAAGAAGAAAAGAACTTTTCCATTTTCCCGCCCACCTTAGGCAGAACTTTTCAAGGATGAACCATTGAGTCAGCAGCTTTAAAGTCGAATCAATTAATAACTTCTCCCCACAAGCACTCACCCCAACACACAGGTTTTCCCATTCGAGCGGCGCCTAAAAGCACGCTCATTATTTTCTGCATAAATTATATTACGATATGGAGGCGAAACCCATTTGACATAAAAATTTACTGCACATGTTGTGCGACGAGATGAACAGAGGGAAGCCAACTTGATAAGCTTCAGGATAAAACCAATAAATTTATTGTCGCTTAAGTCGGCAGTCGGACGGAGTCTGGGCTTGCCAGCTGCTTTTTGGGGCTCGTCGTCCTTTGTGTTAACGCTTCGTTAAGTCTGCGTTAATTTATGTGGGCGTGGCTGCCTCTAGGCCAGGAGCCAAATGACTTTGATAAACCAAATTGTCTTGTCTTCCCTTGGTTATTTTTGGGAAAACTTTGTGCAGCCGTTAAATCCGTCTCAGCCGGGGAAATCAATCAGCAAAGCAAATAAATACAATTAATGTTACATTAAGCATACGCCGTGTTGCACAGCCAGAGAAAAATACTGTCCTTACAGCCATAATTTATGCAACGCAACAATTTTTTGCAATTTTATGCATGTCAACGCTGAAGATGAGATGAAAATGGAAATGAAAATGAAAAAAGCCCGTCTCGACTTTATGCAAGAACACGAAATAAGAGCAGACGACAGAAATATGAATAAAAAAGGGAAAATCAAATATGCACTCGCGTGAAAATTAATGCGACACGCTCTGCAAGCAGCTCGCACTTGACTCATTCAGCATTTCTCGCACTCCTTTGGCCCATTTAACTTGCTTAATTGAAGGAGCAGCAAAGGGGCAAAATGAAAGAGAGCTAGGAAGCGGAAGTGGTAAAAACTTGTTGAAAACTTGATGAGCAGTTTAAAGTTATGGCTTGCGGTTTTTTGGCTCAAGTTAAAACAATACATAATTGAAGGCAAAGCAATTAGTATTTCTGCCCAAGCAGAAGTCTCAATGGATATCAATCTGCAAATGAAATATATATTTTGATTACAAATAAACCGAAAACTGAAAACCGAAACCGAGATAAAATCAATTTGCAAACAAGCTTAATGGAGTCAAAAGGATATTCAAGGTGTATGCAAATTTGACGAAAAACATTGAAAGCAATTTGCCCAGGCAATTAGAATCGTTTAAATATTCAACTCAAGACACAAATCATTCTGAAATATATATTCAACCGGAGATGGAAATAACTCTGCCATGCCATACTTCCAACCCCCATTTTACCTCAACTTATAATGGAGCCAGTTAAAGGACGCACATTTAAGTCGTAAAACTTAATGCTAATGACGCCCATTTTTTAATGCCCTGCAATCCGTAGACCATTAGCGAGCCCTCAAATCATTTGTAACCTCCGCTAATTAGCGTTTATTTGAGAGATAATGTGGGTATTAAATTGGGTTTTCTAACATTCCGCCTCGGTATGTGGCCGCTACTGGTTCCAGTTTTTCTGCTCTTCAACGAGACAAGTTGGCTAAATCCAATCCTGATCAGCATCTACAAGGATAAGCCGCACGAAACAGTTCTTCTGCTCAGACACAGCCAACAGAGTAATGCATCTGGCTTGGAAAGATTTCCCTGGCCGGTTTTTAATTTCAATGAACAGATGGACTTCTATGTGCGAGGCAGTTTCAACAACGAAGTGCTGGTCATGATCTGGCTAACAGGAAATTCGGACTTGGACTCTGACTTGTGGCAGGCACTCGACCGAAGTCTCTTGAATATGCGAAAGGTACGGGTATTACTATTGAGAAAATGGGAAAAAACCCCAACGGTTGACACTGCCAACACAGTCGAGCGTCTACGTTTCCTTCACGTCGCCGTAATTGGACAGGGAAATAGGATATATCGTCTGCAGCCCTATGCTCCAGAGAGATGGTTGGAAATAAATCCAAAGCATTCACCCATCTTTAGCAAAGTTCGAAACTACTACGGCAGATATATACTTACCCTGCCGGATCAATTTGCACCCCGTTCGATTGTCTATCGAAATCCGAAAACAGGAGAGCTTGAATTGACAGGTTACGTTTACAAGTTTCTTGTGGAATTCACTCAAAGGTACAACTTTACTTTTCGCTGGCAAAGACCAATCAAGGAAGGTGAGCGATTGAATCTGATTCTCCTTCGAAATATGACACTCAATGGAACCATTAACATGCCCATCAGCCTATGTGGCTTTGAATTGCCCACTGAATTTGGTGTGTTCTCGAATATATTTGATATGGAGAACTGGTACATCATGGTTCCCCGAGCCCAGGAAATACCCACAGCCGATGTTTATGTGGTGATGTGTAGTGGAAATTTCCTGATCGTTCTGCTGATATTCTACTGTATATTTACAATCCTGGATACTTGCTTTGGACCTTTGCTGCTCAAGAAACGTGTGGATTGGACGAACTTGGTTCTCAACGAACGCATGATATCAGGAATCATGGGACAGTCCTTCAATATGTGTGCCAGGCATACAATCAGCTCCAGGGTGACAAATGCCACTTTATTTCTACTTGGATTGGTTCTGAGTACCCTATATGCAGCACATCTGAAGACCTTACTTACCAAACGACCCACTTCGAGCCAGATTACCACTTTTGAGCAGCTCCGAGATTCACCTGTTAACGTTTTCTTCGAAGAAGCTGAACGATTTTACCTAAAGGAGTTCATGTGGCAGCGGCCAATTCGGGCCATTAAGGATCAGTTGCATTTTGCGGGAACCGGGGAATATTTTGCCTTAAGAAGTGGCTTAAACAGATCTAACGCTTTCTCAATTCTGACATCCGAATGGCAAATTGTGGCCAAGAGACAGGAGCTTTTCAAGCAACCGGTTTTCACTGTACGCCCTCAACTAAGGGTCATCAGTACAAGTGTCCTTCTGTCGCTGGTCATGCAATCGAACTCCATCTATGAACACCACATAAATGATCTTATCCGTCGGTCCCAAAGTGCCGGAATCGTGGAATATTGGAAGCAGCAAACTCTCCGAGAGATGATTACCATGGGCATGATCTCCCAAAAGGATCCTTTTCCGTACGTCACTTTCCGAGAGTTTAAGGTGAGCGATCTGCTCTGGATATGGATTCTATTAGCCATCTTCTTGACGTTGTCCTGCTTCATATTCCTTTGTGAGCTTTTGGTTAATTGGTTCATTAAGAAACCCCAATTAAGGACCTTCATTAAGTGGCTGACTCGTTTCAAATTATAATTCATTTTATCCAGGCGTTTGATTAATTATAAGTACATGACCTGGAACTAATTGCTTTATTGGATTTTAATGGCAACAAACTAATTAGTTTATTCGAAACACTGAAATGAGATATATATTATCAGCGGAATAAATTAAGCACTTAAAAATATTGTAAAACAAAAACAAATACAAAGTTTATGATGCAATCAATAAATGCGGGTAAAATCATCCAGATTAGAAAGACTAAAACTTTTCGTGACGGTTAAACAATCCAAACTCTACACTCATGACCCGCATTTTCCCAGACTAACTAACAATCTGCAGACCTTTCCTCACGTTGACATAAATCAAAGATTTCCCAGGGATTACTTTCAAAAAATGTCACTCCCAATGGCTGCGTTGTTGGCGTTGACGAGGCTTAAGCGTTTGCTTAGTTTTTGCTTTCGACAACCGCCCTCCGTCATTCAATCATCCGGGTTTTCGGTTACGGGAAGTACGCCCCCATAATTGACGTTTACGTCGGTTTATCTTTAAGGGAATATGCCCCAGTCCAGACGGGCGAACAAGCTTATTGGCGCATTATGTGAGCAGACAGGATGTTTATGGTAAAATCAATAATGCAAAGGCTTTAAGGATACAAGTTTTGGCATGGAAATTTACAAAATAATGTTACCACTTGCAGGGGCTAAAACAATCGAATTATTGATGCACTGCAAGCGGCGTAAAATTTTTAATTAAGCCGGACAACATTGTACGCCGTAAACTGATTTCATGCCAAACCATCCAGTAAACCCCATTCAGCAATGCCTGTGACTAGTTGGAAATTTTCCTGTAATGCAATATGCAAATTAGCGGCTAGTGGTCTCCGGACCACGCCCACCATACTACCGCCCCGGGGCCGTCCACTCCCCTAATTGAACCGCATTTCGGGGCTAATTGCAACAACGTCAACAGGGACAACAGTCGAATTTCGAAGTACGCAGATTTTGTTGCTATTCGCAACGTCCACTTTGGAATCAAGGGAAATCGAGGGACCGGCATTTGTGCATTTCATTTTCAAAGTGGGCACTGTCAAAAATCTCAACCAGGGGAAATACGAATCGGACATCCATTTACAGTTGCCATTGTGGGTTTTAAATTTTGGATTTTTAAAGTCTAATTTAGCTAACTAGCAACTACAGTGCGAACTATGTTTTGTAAATAAGTTAAGTTGTGAATATCAAATTGAATTTTTGAGTTAATAAGTTGATTTTGCACTAAAATTAAAGTTCAAAAACTGATTTAAAATCTGTTAGGCATGCGTGGTATATCCTTATATCCTCTTAACCAAAACATTACATTTCAATTAATTATGCTTGATGCTTGCGAAAGAGGAAAAAACAATTGTTAATTGTAATTATTTAAGCCACAAATTGGCCAGTGCGTTAAATTACTTCGGTTTCCATCCGACAATGTCCAGTGAAACGCATTAAAGTGTTAACCAAATCGATGTGGAACAGGCCACATGGCACACATTAATCGAACTCGACCTGTGGAATATTTTAAATAATTTAAATTGTGATGCAAGTGATTATCACAAGCAATTTAATTTCGGTAACAAAAAACATGTATTCTGCCATATTTATTTTTAAAGTTTGTTTCTTTCTTTCGTATTCCCTTTTTGTATTTTGTTTAAAAATTCAACATGAAATGTTGTCCAAAAAGTTCCTCGACATTGTTGCATCCGAGTGCGGCATCAGAATAAATGCTGAATGCTTTCTGCATGGCCAAAGTTGAATAGCTAAAGTTTTACTGAACAGCAGGTGGGCGTGGCAGGCGTTGATTTAGCATTCGTTTGCATTTGTTTATGCAAATCGCGACGGCATCAAAGAAAAAACTGTCAGGCGTCACAAAAATTGTATACGAGTACCAACATAAATTAATGCCAAATACTTTGTGTTTCCATTTAACTTTCAAGCTAATTAGTCGTGAATTTTAACGCGCACTGTCATTTGCATATATTTACAAAATATTTGAATATTTGGCTGTGAAAAGGTCCTGCGGTCGAAAAGGGAAAATTCGTTACATTCATTTGCATTTGTTCTAATTATGAGCTCAAGCAATTAGCTGGCTAAAAACTTTCCCGAGGCAGCTGAGCAACTAACAATAAACGGAAAATCAAAACAAGCTTAGTGCAGACACCTTTTTTAGGGGTTGGATAGGGGCAAGGGGGAATCCCTCAGAGAAACTGTCAAAAACTCAATCAGAAAACTTTCATCTAAGCCGGTTGGAAAAGTTGTTGCTTCTTCTGAGTGGGGTGGGTGGGATATTTGGGGTCGGTATTTTCCCATTATCCATCCCACCTGGGCTGGCATTGGCATTATTAACAAGTTTTCTATATGCAAATCAGCTACAGCAGAGAACTTTCAATGGAAGCAAAACAAAGCAAAGGAGTAGACAATGTTTACCCACCCAAGGCCATTGAGTTTTTGCTCCACCTCACCAGTTGGTTTTCCTTTCGGCTGGCAGTTTTCCATCAAAATGCGAAAGTAAGTGAAATTGATGAATGCTCTGGTGACAATGGAGTGCTTCGGTTGTCAGTTCGTCTAATAAATGGATGCGAGTTGGTTGGCGACCAGCACTGAGTTGGCGACATTTATCAAGCAACTTCAATTTAAAGCAGCAAAAAGATATTTCTTCATAAGTTCTTGCCCATAATCCCGAGACGAAGCTCATCTTTGTGACCTCTAAAGCTGGCCATTGATTTGTCAATGCCTGGTCTTAAGTCCTGGCTGCTCTTCCTGATCCATCCTCTTTGGCCATAAATCAATCCATGGAGAATTTTGAAAGCATTAAAAGCATTACAGGGAGCGCCATTTCGTGGTGGGTGTATTTCTAGCGTGCTGCTGTCGCTGTCATGTCTTTGTCATGTTGAACAAAAGCCGCCATAGCGGCAGAAGCATTACGTATACGCCCTGTGGCCCTGTAGCACAGATATAAGGACTCACACATGCAAAGCGACATTTCCAGGCAACCGAATGAATGCGAGAATGAATGACTGAACAAATGGTCGAGGGTTGGAGTGCATGGGAAACCTTAGGCCATCTTTTGTCTGCCTGCTTTTCCGCTTTTCCTTAGGCGGCTGTGTTCTTTTCACCAGCCATTTGATTGTTTTCCATGTATCTCCTTGATATCAGCTAGATGCACTGAAACAAGTTTAGAAGTACAAATTCTTTATCCTCTCTGCTTCTAGAAATATATACTTAGTTCGGACTAACTTTATTTCTTAATGAAAAGAAATCAAGAAATTTCTATATGCAAGTGGGCTAGCAGAAACCGCAACATTTTCTTACCCCCTTAATGGTATACATTTTTCCCACACTTCATCGGTTGTTTTCCCAACAATATCTAAGTATGGGTACTTTATTGACAAGCTAAATATTGAATATGACATTAAACAGGTTCTATTTTCGTCCTGAAATCCATGTAACAAGAATACATTTTTATACTAAGTACTTAATAACACCAAACAGCTTTTACTGATACATCGTTTGAATAGCGCAAAAGAACTTATATGACATGCCAAGAAACTGTTAAGAGATAGTAAAAACCAATTAAAAATCACGTTCAATCCTTAATACTCACGGTACTCATAGTCGCAATGGATAGATCCAAGACTATGGTAGCTTTTAGACACTCTGGCTTCTGGGCCCGCAAACATATAAATAATAACATTTTTCGACATTTCGTATCGAGTTGGATCCAATCCATATGGTAGGCAGCAGAGCTGACATCTGCACTCTAAAAAATAGCTTTATAGATCGGTAGAGGATAGGCAGGATCATACTTATCTTACCGCATCGATCACCATCTGGCTGAAGGAGCAGAGTAGATATATTTCCACCAACGCTGAGGATAGGAGCAGCACCTGTTTGAAAAAATACTCAGGGCTAAATTCGACGGTTAACTGAAAGCCCACTAGGCACACCAGAAGCGAAGAGGCCATAAAGTTTAACAGCAAAGGAACGCCAAAGACGTCGTTTACCACGTCGGTAAGCCTGAATAGAGTTCTGCCTTGGTATATGGATTGCTAAATAAATCCATTAACAAACCTGAGTATATCAATATGGTTGGCGACTAAGGACTGCAGCACCTGCATATCATGATAGGCTCCATTGGGTTCTGTATGATTTCGAACCTTATACTCCCTTAGAACCTTGGCCAATCTTTCGTAGTGCATGATAACCTGGAAAACCACCGCAAAGATCATAATATCACAGGAAATCGATCCGCATGTAGCCGTATAACCCGCAATCGACTGATGTAAGTAGGTCAGATAGAACTTCCAACCGCCGTGCCAATCCCAAGGCGCCAGCTCATAGAAAGGCAGATATTGCTTGGTATCTGGCGATCGAAGCACGTAGGTCTCAACTAGATATAAACTTATTGGGATAAGGAAATGAGCAAAACACATAATTGTAAGAAGACCGCCAAAGCCTTTTGTGAAAATGTTGCATCGTTTCAGGTAGGTCTTGACATCATACTCCTCTTGATCCTTTTCGCTCGATGACGGGAAGCAGGACTCCAACTGTCGAACCAAGATAGTCACCTTTTGTTTTCGAATCGAACCAGTAAATAACTTTAGCACGCCGACGAACACAAAAGACACGTAGCCCACTACAATGCAGCTCTCAAGGAAATTTTCATCATCTCGGAATAAGATCACCATAAAGGCTAACTCTGTGATGAAAGCTATCGCCATATTTATCATATTCAGCGTATAAAATACTTTAAACGCCAGACTGGGTTTCTTGACAGATTCATATGGCTCTATACCCACGATGTTGAAAAATAACACTGGTATACAAAGAAAATCATCGACAATATGATAACCTCTCTGAGGGTTTTCCCCGACATTAAACACTCGGTCGATAAGATTCTTTTTTAAGAAGTTTATATTCATTTCGGATTATAGTTGATAACACAATGAAACGCAAGCCGAAGAGCTTGGGTTTTTATAGGTCAAAGGTTGTGCAGAAACCGCAAGATTTCCAAGTCCATTAAACCAGTTACTTTCTTAATAATAAATATTTTGCTTACGCGTGCCTAGTTTATTGGCAACACAGAAACCGCAATTATTGGAAGACCAAAAGCCTAAGTTACGTATATAAAAAGCACGTGTTCTCTTCTCCCTTTAATATTTTATAATTTCTTGAACAGCTGCTACTTGTCGATTTTTCTCAGTGCACTGTGACAACGGAAGCGAGCTCGTGTCAGACATCCTTGAGGCTCTTTTGCTCATTTATATGCATTCGGTTCGGAGGACACAAAATCGTTAGATATTTGCTTAAGACTGTAACATTATCGTTTCCTATCCGTAAGGTCAGCAAATGTCGTTGGCTAAGATTGGATTGCACATGTGGCATACAACATGTACCACATGTACCACAGGAGGCATCAAGAACAGAACCGAAACAAGAGCTTAATTTCGGTTTCGTTGGCGGGCAAAACAAGTTTGACAGCTCTCGGGCAACTGGGCAACTGGCAACTGATAGATACAGATAAAGTAAGTTGAGGTTCTCGACTGCATCCCGAAGAAGTTCATTGCCATCATGATGGGAGAAGCAGCATCAGCAATGTAAGAGGGAAATCCGAGATATACATACATTCATAGGGGATACGATGGTGGAGCATTGAAAGTGAAGACGCAAATTGCTGTCACTATCAGCGGGCTTGAACTTGCTGAACAAGTTTTTGGTTCTATTCACTCGGATAAAAGTAAAACTTAAAAGTGCATAGATAGATAGATGCTGGTCCCACACAAAAAGATGAACACAGAACTTTTCAAATGCATAAATCGAATGCAGTCGTGCGAATTAAATAAAATGCCAGCTGCCATTATCCCATATCGTAGCCACATAAATTGATGGCTGATGCTGCATCGTCACAAATAAAACATTCATTGGATTGACATTTTAAAATGCTTTCCATGCACACACGGGCTGCCATAGAAACGGATTGAAGGCGAAATGAAAATGGGAATGGAAAAATCGAAAAAATGCTCGAAAATATGACAATGGAAAATGTATCTTTGCCATTTGAAATGGCATTGAGTGACCGCTAGCACGGCGATCTAGCGAATATAAAATTTATTTAAAACCATTGGTATACGCTTCCTGGTGGGGGATTATCAAATGTTAATTACCCAAATGATGTTTTCAATTCATTTGCGGAAGTGGTGAGCGGTACTGAATGTGGCAAATGATTTCACATCGTATATTGGCAGGAAAAATGTTTCCATTTATTACTTTTCAAATATTTATGCTGTTAGTTTGTCGAGGATTTATAATAGCTCGATCCTATTGGTACATTTTTACCCTATAGATTACGTTGGTTTCCAACTGCATTCGAATGGGACTGATTTAAATTTTATAACATCAATTTAGTTTAAGTTTTTCTGCCCTTCGCTTCCATGAGTGTATACAATTTTAATAGAGTCAATTATTTTCCAATTGCTGTGGTGGTATATTTTTTAATCAATATGTTTTCAAAAACATTAGCTTATTATTTCTTTGTTTTAGTTTTTGTTCAAAAATGCAGTTAAAAGTTAAAAGCCGCAAGGACACCTTAGAATATGAACATTCATAAGATATCCTTTTGATTAGATACCAAACCCTTTGACAATTTCCCACCACATTAAGCGCTTCATTACGCTCACATTCATCGTCCGACGTGACATTTCAATTGGCCTGAACTGAGGGGGGGGAGGTTCAAAAAGACTACATAAATCCTCGGTGCTTAAACCCAGTCAGATATCGTGGCTCCCTCACCTTAAATGCTTAACCCCCTGGAAACTACAATGCGCATTCATATTCGCACTCTACATTCACAGTCACATCCTTGCTCACATTCACTGGCAAAGTCGTAATGCATTGCACGTACGGAAACCTCGCCGTAAAATGACGGCGAACTAGGAGCGCTAAAAAGTGTAAGAAAATCAGCAACTAAATGGCGGGAAATTCGGTGGGCGAGGAGATCCTGGGTGACCTGGCACATTTCGCTACTTAAAGCCACAAAAGCCACACGCACACACTGAGAAGATGAGGCGACGTCTTTAGCACCGCCATTGTTGTTAATTTTGCAAGGCTGCCAGGCAACTTTGCGCCGGAAACGGAAACTAGGAGCACTTGGCTCGTCCCAGCTAATGTATCCGTATGTGTGCTTCTGTTTGTGTGTGTGTGTGTGTGTGTGTGCGAGGATGTGGGCACGTTGGTATGTGAGCATTTACAGTTGAGTTATGGGCGCACATAAATAAAATGTCAGCGACAAAATGGCTGCCAAAGTTTCTGCGGAAATTACCTGAACTACGTCGTTGACACAAAATTGAGCCAGCAGCACTTTGACATTTTATTTGGCTTTGTTTTGCGTATCGCAGATCACGTAATTCCCTGCACTTTTCAATTGAATTAAATGTGTTGCCTAAGCCACTGAGCAGGGTTTGATGAACCGCTAAGCTGCCTGGAATTTCACAATACCCATTCACCATGCCGTGGAGCTGACAACAACATGGTGTGAGCCCATTAGCCCTGTCAAAATCAGGTTAAAAAAGGTCCAAACAAAGGTCACAACCGCAGGCAAGCCAAAAAAAAGGGTTCACTCTCATTCGGAACTTATCTATAAAATATTTACATTTTATTGCAACTTTTCGAGTGTTTCTCTGGCTATATTTAAATTTTACATTAATCCCTTAAAGCTTTTTTTTTTGGTATTTTTTGAAAGGGTGAATATTTAACCCACCAACCCCAATTTGTATCACTTTCAGACCCTTTTTCTGGCGAAAGAAAATTGATTTCTGGCTTTTGTGTGCGGGAAATTTGTTTTTGATTTGAATAAAAATGCAAACGTCTAGACAGAGCCGCTGGTCTGGGGCAAATATTTATGCTAAAGGGTATTTTAAAGCGATGCCGCAGAAGCAGCTTTGAGCACTCAACCGAAATGTGCTCCTTCTGGACCATGTAATGCAATTGTTTGGCCTTTGTTTTACGCTGCACTGGCCAGGCCATAAAAAAGGGCAAAACGAAAAAAATATAAGGAAAACTGGGCAACATTCTTTGATATTTATTTGCTTTCTTTTTGCCCACTTTGCCATTTTCAATTTACGTTAACAATAATTCAGCAAAACGTTCAAATGGCGTGCAATAAATTCGCAACATCACGAAATAGGGGAATGGATGAAGGAATGGCACTACCAACGATTTACCCTCACATACAATATTTATACATAAAATGTAAACTGCAGTTTTACTTTATTTTATTTGCACTTTATTGCACATACAATGGCAATTTATGTTACGCCATTGCCAACTAGGACGTATAAAGTGTATATAAAATGTAGGTACGTAACTCCTGGGGTCATATGCTGGTCAGTGTAAAACAAATGCTGACAAGTGCAATTATCCCGGGCGGAGTGGGGTGGCAAGTTCTGCCCTCGTAATGAATGTAATGCCAGTAAATGGCAGTGTAAGTGCGGTATATACCACTCCGGAATCAGAGTGTGTTCAGCTTGCCAAATGGTCAGTGGTTTTCGGTGGCAGAAGCGGTTCGTCCGGAGGTGGTAAGAGGTTCTGATTCCAGTTAAGACCCACGCGACATTTTGGGTAACTGGCAGAGCTTTAAGATTAAAGTGCTCGACGCTGGCTGTTCTGTGTGTGGCTTTATGACAGTTTATTGCACTCAACCGATTTACTTGGATGACAGTTAAGAAGCGATAATACTGGAATCAATCAATGAATAAAAAAAAACGTGCAAAAAATAAGTACAATTTAAGAGGGCATCTTAAGGATAAATGAAACTGTCTAAAAGTATGCAATGAAAATAAACCTTCGCGGCTTACAGATAAAAAAAATATCATTACACACTTTCAGTCCTCTTTATAATTTCTATGGTACCCTTAGTTACTCTAAAAATCATATTTTATATAAAAACAAAAAGTTACTTTATCTCTGCCAAAAAGAGCATTACCATTATTCTTTTCACCTAAACCTCACAGGCACTTTAATGCCAACCTTGTCACCTGTCACTCCCAAAAGCCGAGACTTATCATCGCCCACTAGTTGCCTGGCAATACTTAAACGTTAGCATCCATAAAAGTTGGCTTCCGTTTTAGCGCCTGTCCTAAATGAATTTATGTCACCGGCACTTCATTTAAAGGCCCAAAACAAAAAGAAAACAAGGAAAAAGTAGAATAAACTCCTCAGTCACTCCCCAGTCTAATATTCCTACCGATGCAGGCCACAACCCGGCAAGTTTGCGTCTTGTGTCTGACATTAAATTAATTTGTTGCCTACAACTTTGCCAGCAGCAAATAGTGCCCATGGGTGGCCTTGCTCCATCTCAGTAGAGCTGTAGCTCCGGTTCAGGCTCCAGTTTCCAGGCTCCCGGAAAACTTGTTAAAGACGAAAATAACAAGAAAACTTTTAAATCATTCGACAGTGCCAATGTCGCAAAAGTTCGGCCCAAAAAAGGGAGCAGTCGGAAGAACAAAAACTAAAACGAATTCGGGAATGGGAAATGAGAATGGGAATGGATGGAATATAGAAACTTGAATGAAAGAAAGGCGTGTATGTTATGGGTGTTGTAACTGCTAGTCTAGGCATTACCCATAACATTCTAGAAGGCGTGTCAAGGTTGTGTGGGTAACGATATATACAGATATATGTTTATGTATATACACCCAGTCCAGCTGACAGAATTATGGCGGAAATACAACCAGCATACACAAACCGGGGGAATCATTCGACTACTAAATCTTTGCCTTAATAGTCAACGCTTGGGGAAATGTTTATTGCTGTTTGTACTTAGCCAGTAACCCAAATTGATAACAAAAATAAACTTTGCCAGCTGTCCTTGGGCAGTGTTGCATTTGACTGTACTCGGAAAGCATCTTTGGTGAATTATATTTGC